CCAGAAGGAGAGCTGTCGGTTTGCTTGTGCTTTGTTTTGTTTTTGACACAGGACCTCTGTATGTGGTCCTGGCTGTGCTAGAACTTACCATGTAGACCTGGCAGAGCTCAAATTCACGGGGATCTCCAGAGTGCAGGGATTAAAGATATATGTTACCACCCCGGCTCTTTGTCTAGGGTTTTTAAATGTTGATGAACAAAGAAAGTAGTTTTGAATGCTCACAGAAGAGCCTGCCAGTCTGGAAAGGGCACCCAGAAAGTACAAGTTCATGTCCTCCCCACAGTCCCATCTTTTAGACATCACGCCTAATGGCAGAAGCAGATAGGCTTGTTGCTTGAAATAATATGTATTCCTGATTTTTCTTATCAGAGACTTGGTGTTGGGGTCTTCACTGCAGAATGCTCCCATAGACATTTCTTGCCATGGCCTGTGCCATCTCTTTTTGTCTTCACAGTTGTCTTTTATTTGACACCCAATATGTTCAAGAAACAGGATAGAGCTTTTAACACTTACAGGAACATATCAAGTATAAATATCCATATAGCATTTGGGTTCTGAGTATCCTTGTGTCATTTTGAGAGTACATTACTGTAGGAGGTAAACAGGTTTTGGTACTAACAGGTGAGTAGTAGGGGAACATGGAATGTTAAACATGGAGGGTTGTTCCTTCAAATAAAGGGATGTAAAGCCTGTTATCTGTGCAGAAGTTTGGGAGCAGACATGGTTAATAGCCTGGTGACTTTTTTCCCCCCAATTTCTGTGGCAGAGACCACAGTGGATCTTCCTCTAGACCCTTATTATGAGCTTGTTTTTCCTAATCTGTAGAACCCATCTTTATGGAAGGTATCATATGTATTTGCAAAGAGTTGATGTAGCCATGTCTGATCTTTATTTAGCTTACTTTGAGCTTTATTGTTCACACGGGATTGAGTTAATTATCACCAGAAAACTTTTCACCAACTTGCAATTTGCTTAAGTGTTCCTAAAATAAACTTGTCAGGGTCAGGCTCCTGAAGTTTGAACCAACACTGGCTAGTTAGGCATAATGAGCCAAAATGCCTTCTGGCCTCCCACAGTGATTGTCAGAGAGACACCGCACCATCCCGTGTTCCAGCTCATTCCAATGATGAGTCAGGATTCCTAAGTCTTTAGCTGTCTCATTTACGAGTCTGCCTGTTCCCTGTCTAGGAAAGGTAAAATTGTTGCCTTAGATTTTAGGAGTGTTCATGGTGTAGTCCCTTTCTATAAATAAATAAATAAATAAATAAATAGCACCTAAGGGAGTGCCATTTTCATCAGCTGCAACGGATACAGTTTTAACCATTTCTCCTTTCCACGGAGAAACTAATTCAACAACCATGACTCTACAGAGGCAGTAAGGTGAGCAGGCCACACTGAAGGGATCCTTCAAGGGCTGTCCTTGTATGTCAACTGTAGCCACTGTGATCAAATGAAGCAAGGGAACTCTGGCAAGAAAATGCGCACCGCTTTTCAGTGCCCCAAATTAGTGTAACAATGGCTGTGAGTAGGCATTTTAGGAAGAAAGAAAAAAAGACATCCTTTGCTTTTTGCGAGTTAATATATGTTTAACATTTTTGTACTTAGACTACTACAGCCTCCGTCTCAGAGCCTTTGCTGTGTCCTGCTAGCCTTTGGTTCATCACTTTCACACAATTTCATTGCAGTCTCCTCCTTCCAAGGCTCCCTAAGGACCGCTGCCTTCTCCCTTAGGTCGGACCTTTACCCGACACTCCTCTTTTATATTTTCATATCCTTATTTTAATCAAACTTTGTGAATTTTTTCTGTTGCTAGCTCTACCTCCCTTCTAGTGTTTACTTTCTTGATATAAAAATCACAACATTAAAATAAATAATCACAACAGTAAGCTCAAAGAAGACATTTTATTCTAGACCCAAATATGAGTGGCCGTGGCATGGAAACCTAGATTTAAGTTACCCCAAATTCTGGGTCCTAATGTGAAAGCAGTTCTGTTAAGTTATTGTAGAAGCAGAACAAAGGAAGTCACAGATCAGGACACCTTTAAATACATGGGTAGAAACAGTAGGTAGGCCGGTTAAAGAAACGTGGGGATAGCTGAGAGCCTCAAGTGTGTTTTTATTCAACACAAAGACCCAGAGTTAAAGATGAGACTATTAGAGTGGAATGTGCTCCGATAGGATCAGCACCCTCATTAAAACAGGAAACACAGAAAGACAGACACACAGAGGGAACCTGATGTGAAGTCTGGGAGCAAAGGAGGAGGCCAGTCACTGCATGACCGACAGGCTTTGCCTCTCTTTTTGCCTCCTTAGTCATTGTACGGGCTGGTTTATTTTGTCAACACTATGCAAGCTAGCAGTATCCAGGAAGAGGAACCTCAAATAAAAAAAATGCTTCCATCAGATTGGCCTGTAGAGAAGTCTTGAATGGTATTTTCTTGAGCAATGATTGATGTTGGAGGACCCGGACCACTAAGGGAGGTGTGGTACCACCCTTGGGCAGATGGTCCTCAGTTGTGTAAGAAAGCCACATGAGCAAACCCATGGAGAGCAAGCCAGTAAGCAGGATTCCCTGACTTCTGCTTCAGTTTCTGCCTTGAGTTTCTACATGGACCTCTCTTGGTGACTGAGTGTCACTTGAGTTGTAAGAGGAGATGAATTCTTCTCTTCCCAAGTTGCTTCTGGACACGGTGTTTTAGTTTGGCAGTAGTAAGCTAGCTACCGATAATCCTTCTGCAGCTGTGTTGAGCTCCAGGGTTGCAGCACTAATAATAAACATCTTTATGACCAAAGACCCAGATCATACTTTGCAGGACAGATCCCCTGCTCGCAAATGAGGTTGATACCAGTTACTCGGGGGCCGAGGCTGCACCCTGGAATAGGTGTCATCATTCCATGGGACTCGGGTACTCCCCTCAAGTGGTGACAGCAATGACAACTTCTCCAGAACTCACAACAAGGGCTAGAACTGAGACAATGACCAATAGAACCTTGCACCTTGAAGGCAGACTTAATGACACAGCTTCCCAATGTGGCCGTGCCAAGTTAATCTCTTTTCTTTGTCATTTACCACCACCACTCAGGAATTTCTCTGAAATGGTGGTGTCTAGTCCTTTGAAACTCCTGAAAAAAACAGGACTTTTATCCTAAACTCCTGTAACCTGGAAAGGGAATAAGTAAGCCAAAGGATTCCTGAAACTGCAAAGAAATTAAAATAAAAGCAATTAGCAGGTCCTCTTTCACAGTCCTTATAGAGAACCACCAACCTTGTCAACACTTTAATTTCCGAACCGAGATAATAGTTGCTCTTGTTTAAGTTTGGCTGGTGGGAGCTTGTCAAGGCAGAAAACTGTCACACACGGCTGGCTACTCAATAATCTTAGCACCACTGTTCGCTCAGCATCCCCAGACAGCCTGTTAGCTCTCCTCTGTACAGAGCTCATTTTCTGGCTTCTCTCAGGAAGGCTAGAGCCCCAGGACTCTCACCTCCTCCTGTGTTCCGTAGCATCCACCCAACTAGATGGTAGGTTCCTCAAATCCACCCACACAAACACTTCCATCCCTCTCCTCATCCTTTCAGCTTACCCTGCCTTATTCTAGTCCCCAGAAATGCCGGAAAGACCAGTGTCCAGATGATTATTTGGCTAGTCGCCTAATTTTAGGAGAATGTTCTGCCTAGCAAGATCTGTCCATGTAACAATTGCTAGAAGCCCTGCTTACTGCTTGTAAGACACACCCAGACTCCCTCCCATGATACACGGGTGAGGCATACTTCAGGAACACACACACTCCTCTAGTTTTGTGCTTTGTACTTTCCTCACTGAATATGCAGGCAGGAGATTCCCTTCAGCATGCATCCTGTTCGCCGCCTTTATGCTTCGGTAGAAATTGGACTCTGGTTTGGGAAATTGGACCACAGACCTTCTCATTCAACATCTAGCCCAGGAATTAATGGAAGAAAACTTCCCTGTGTCTTTCAGCATGAAAATTTTAAACCTTCATCTGTGTCCCATGTGTGTCTTTTTACTACTGTACCCAAGACAGTGTTTGCCAGGCACATGAGAAGGAAAACTGTATTTAACTTACTCTAGTGCCCTAACAGACATAGTGGAACTTATATCAAGATCACGGTCTTTGCTGAGTTTGTTCATGCTTGGCCTTTCTAGCCTTGTCCTGATGAACTCAGAATTTATTACACTGCCTCTGTAGGAAAGGACTTGAGGATAGTAATATCCACCTTAAGCAACAGAGATCAGCATGGGGAACAGCCCCCAATGCTGACCTGGGTCTGACCCACTAATACCTACAAACCATTACTTTACAGAAACACTGAGCCAGTTTTACTTTCCACCCCTACAAGTGATTTAGCCACTTAATTAGGCAGATCCCAGAGAAGAAAGACCAGGCTCACAGAGCAGTCTCAGCACGGTGTGAAAAGAGATAATGAGCAGGATCTGACACAGGGCAAGAACACCACAAAGGGTTATAGAGAGAATCAGATCTGGCACAAAGACCAAAACAAACAAACAAACAAACAAGACCAAATGGACAGAGGGAAGAAGTTACTAGAACACATAAAGAGGGTTGCCTGCTAGGCCTGGGGATCCACAGACTACATTTTCCTTTCTCTGTCAAAACTCTGGCTGAAGCTGGTGGGCAAGGGAGTGTGGGTACAGGCCATGCAACTCACCCTCTAGTAGCCTGAGCACAGTGAAAATAAATGGAACACATGTGACAAACATGGCAATAGCCAACCCAGCAAATAGAAACTCCACGCTAGGAGTGTATACCAGTGGTAGAGCGCTTGCTCTACTTCCAGAACCACATGCACAGAAAGAAATTAATATCAGATCTGACAAATAGAAAATAAATAATTGTTCTACTAAGATTGCCCCTGTAGACTAAGAGTTCAAAAACTTTTGTTCTTTTCTTTAAAGACAGTGAAACTACCATGTCAGTGCCCACATTCTCAATTAAAAGATGGCAACGTAGTCTTTTGCTGTCATTTTACTTGATCTTTTATTCATCTTAGATTTCTTCACAAGTAGTCTGAATGAAAGGGGGCGGGGAACCTTGATGTCATTTTTGACCGAAGTCTTCTCACACAGGAAACAGCAGGTGTCATGATGTCTTTACTGGAAGTGGAGCAGCTGAGGAAGGAAATGACCGGAAATGACTATCTTGGAGTCCTATGACTATAGCTCTGCTGAGATCATCGTCTGTTACCTTCACAAACGGCTCATCATCCTCTCCTTAGCCCATTCTTGGACTTCTGCTTTTCCAAACACGAGGTAGATGATTAAGCCACACTGGCTAATGGCAAACAATAAGAAAAAGAAATTCCTCCACCCGAGGTCAGGGTCCTGGGAACACAAAACCCAAAATACGTATGACTTTTTTTCTCTCTTTTTTGATGAAACTGAATCACTAGTTCAGATGACAGTTTCCAGGGGTTTTCCATGCCGAGATTCATTTCCTACAAGTCTCTTGATCATTAGATAAAAGAAATCCAAAATATACTCAAAATGTTCTACGTAAGAGAGATTTGGAGACCCTCATGATTGACCTACAGAGTTATATTTGTCATTATTATCAATGTGTCATACATATTCTCTGTTGCCCAACCTTGCCTACATATGCTATGCTAAAACCTGTTCTAATATTCTTCCATCGAATGTTACGATGTGGTAAAGATATTCTAGGCATCAGAGTTCTTTCCTCAGATCAGAAAGACTCAGTGTATCAGATTTTCAGTTAAAGCGTCAGGAGACGAGGGTGATGTTGTTAATTTTCATACTTGTGTTAGGATGAAAAGATAAACAAGATTGTGTTGTATAAAATGCTTGTCATACATAGTCAGGTGGTGGTGGCACATGCCTTTAATCCCAACACTCAGGAAGCAGAGGCAGCAGGATCTCTGTGAGTTCGAGGCTAACATGGTCTACAGAGTGAGTTCCAGGATAGCCAGGAAACATTGTCTGAACAAAAAGTACTTGTCATAATATCGGCATGTGGCATGCACTTAACATGCTTCCTCTCCTCTCCTTCCCTGCGTGTGATTATTTACACAATGAAAATTCAGCCTCAATGACTTGGCAGGTCAGCATGGAAATCATATAGGGTTGTTTCCCATTTCAAATGGTGATTATGAATGGAGCTGTGGTTAGTTCTCTGACTCCAGAATGACCTCAACTCTGGTTCATTCTGCTCTACACTTCATGGTCACCTAAAATTCAACACTATTTTCTAACCTTTGTCTATACGCTTTAACTATTATCACTTTTACAAATGCACGTGGTATTTTAAAAGTCTGTCTTGGCATGAAAATTACCTGATCGAGGAAAAAGCCACCAATAAGGGGTACCAGCACAGCGGATGAATGTGCCAATCCTCTTGATGTTCCCATGAGAAGGCTGGCATACCTGTGGGTGACAGGAATGTCCCAAGCTAAATCCAGACATAGTTGACAGTATCTTTCAGCTCTGCTTTATGTATGAATCCACCGTGTAATTACATCTAAAAGGACTTGGGCGTTGTATATTCAATGTGAGGCAATATGATAAGTCCACACTTTTCCACCCAACACACCATAGGCCCATCTATGGTCCATGCTTATGATTTGTTGTCTTCTATTCTTTGAGACCCCAGAACACTATAGATCACCCAGAAAATGTGAAACCAAGAGCAGATGTAAGAGTCCTACCTTGGGGCAAGGTCTAAAGCGTTGATATAGATTCCGGACTGACACAGAGGGGCTAGCCCACAGGAAAGTGTCAGAAATGCAATTGTTGTGACATAGCTGAACTGGATGTAGGGTAGAGACACAATGAGGGCTGCTGAGGGAAGATTTCCTAGGGAGTGCGGAAGAGAGAATCCAAGAGTGAGACGCAGTCTTTGGTTGTTGAATACTTAGAAGTCATTCAACCCTCATACCCTGTTCTTACCTAAAACTGTGAGGATTTTCCTTACAGTTACGAGCCTAAAATTCTTGCTCAGAAGAAAGTCAGCCAGCAGGCCTCCCAGGATGCCAACGATCCAGCCAATGAAAAAGGGAAGAGAAGACAGGAACCCATTCTGAGGTGAAAAGACAGGTGAATGACCATAATTAAGGCAGTGACAAAAACTTGTTGGTAATTCCCTCAGGTCATCCCGACTCTCAGAAACCACCCTTTCTTGGGAATCCTGCCCACCTCTTACGTCATGCCCCTAGCAAGGTTGCTGTCATTGGTTTGAAAGATCAGATTATTTGGGGTCATGAGGGTAACGCCCTGCAGATTGAATGATTTATGACACCTGAGTAGCAGAGCAATCATGCAAACACAAGGAAGGAAAGGAATGAAATCTACTCACGTCTCTGATGTTAATTTTGAACACATAACTGATGTAGGTTGGGATGTATACTATATAAGTGTTAACAAGCCACTGGTGGGTCGTAGTGCCAAGACACATGGTCCAGAGTGGCAGAGATTTGAGCATGGCTTTTATGGGAAGTGATTGCTCTTCTGAACTGATCTGAAAGCAAATGGTCTGAGTAGTAAGATCAATATAAAGTTCAAAGTCTCTGCCCCCCTTCAGAACCCAGATGTGGATGCAAGGTTTTTGCAGAGGTTGGAGGTTTTATGAGTACCTGTTGGTGAAGGGAGGATAAGATGTATTCTTTCTCTGAACTGCTTATCCATGGGTGAGAGGCAGGGTCATCATAAATCAGAATGAACCAGAGAAGGGAGCAGCCACAGCCAAAACCTCCTGTGAGCAAGGGGAGAGTTCATCAAAGAGCTCATTTTGTCTTTTTTCTTTTTTAGTTTTTGTTATAGTCATTGCACATAATGTTGGTTTTTAATAATTACTTTTAAATGTACCATGCATTTTGAGCATGTCAGCTTCTTCACATCCTCTTCCAAGTTTCTCCTCCCTCTCCCCTCCTACCAGTTATTAATCTCCTTTCTCTGCTGCCTGTCTGATTTTATGTAGATATATGTATGTGTGACCCATGTATGTATTATGTATATATGCATACATATAGAGATAGATAGACAGATGTACTTTACAAAGAATTTTAGTTTTCACAAATGAGAGAAAATATGTGGCTTGTTCTCTGTATCTAACTTATTTCTCTTACTATGATTTCCAGTTCCCTCCATTTTCCAGAAAATGACGTAATTTCATTCTTCTTTCTGGCTGAATCAAATTCCACTGTGACTTTGTACATTTCCTTTATCTGTTCTCTGTTGCTGGCCATCTAGGCTGGTTCCATGCTTGGGATACTGTGAACAGTGCGGCAATAATTGGAAATGTGTGCTTTCCCAATTATATTCTTTGTTCTGGGCTGCCTTAGCCTCCTTTAGGTATTTTGAATGGCTTGTTCTCATGTTGGGACATTTTCTAGGAGAGGCCATTGCCAAAGCTCATTCTGAGCCCTCCCCAGTTCTCAAACAAGCTGTCTAATACATTTCTTTACATTTCTTAGTCTCTTGTATATGGGAAGACCTTAGGGAGAGCATAATACTTAGTGTCAATATTTTCAGTATTAGCCATTTTAATAAGCATATGGAGGTATCCCATTGTACTTTTGCTTTTCATGCCGCCATGATTAAAGGGCTTAGTTAAGCCCCTGGCCACAGGTCTGTGCTCTCTTTGTGTGTATTTGGTGAAATGTTTCTGCTTAGTTTTCAATGGAGGGTTTTGTATTCTCACTGAGTTTTGAAAATTGTTTACAAATTTTAGAAAAACAAATAATTGTTTTGTAGATATTTTCCCCTTGAGCCAATTCGTCTTTTTATTATTTTAGCAATCTCTTTCGAAAAGGATTTTTTTTTTTAACTCTGTGGATATCCATCCAATTCATCGATTTCATCTACTTTTAGTGACTCATACCTATAGTGTTATATTTAGGAATTCTTTGGTTAATTAAAGAACAAAGTATTTTCTTCTGAATAATTTTTCCAGATTTTATATGTAGGTCTGGTGTTTGTGGATGGGGGTGAGGGAATTGTCTTCCTTGATTTCTTTGACACAAGAATCTCTAACTGACTTTGGAGCTCACCTATTTGCCTAGGCTATCTGGTTAATATTTCTTGAAGGTTTTTGTTTCCTTACCCTACTCCTGCTCCACAGAACACTGTTTTGAGTTGCCCAGACTGGTCTCAAGCTTTCCCTTGAACTTCTGATCATTTTGTCTCTGCTTTCTGAGAACTGGGATTAGAGCCATGTGCCACCACACCCAGTTTTCCTAGAAACTGAACCCACGGCTCCCTCCTAGCCCAGAACTTTATCAACCGGCCTACATCCCAAGCTTGTTTCATCAGTTCTTGCATGGCACATTTGGGGGCTTTGCTGTCGGGTGCATGCGCATTTCCAATTGTTGTGTCTTCTTGGTGAGCTGGTAATATTCCTTATTGTCTGGTATTAATATATCTACCCAATTATCTCTTGAGTAGTTTGTAACCCATCTCTGTCTTCCGATACTCGCCGACTGGAAGGGGAACAGGTGTGTGAACCAAACAAGCTGATACGAAGTTTGAAAATAAAATGCAAAGCCCCTCCAGTGGCAACGGTAGGTGAAGCAGCACTTTCTTGGTTTCTAGTTAAATGCATGTCTTGGGGCCAAGAGTGAAGTTACCATGAATTACTCTCAGTGTTTGATATTTTCTTTTTATTGGGAAACTTGAGAGTTGCCCAGGATGCCGCCCCCTTGCTGTGTTTAACCAAAGACAAGCCTCATAGGTACACTTACCTACCTGGATTGCTTTCTTATCTCTTAAAAAGCACTGTTCTGCAAGCCTTCCCCTCCTGCCTGCAAGGCACAGTGCATCTGTGCCCACTGAGCCTTAGGGCAGGAGAACAGTACTTTATATGAAGCCCAGAGGATTTCCACAATTTAACTAGCAAAGGCTATTTCCTTGTATTATGATACTTGGCTTCCCTGACATTTTTATATTTGGACTCTCTTCCTTCAGTAAAGTACACACAGATGCACAACTTCAGAAGAACATTACTGAATAGCTCAGAAGCCAGCAACTTACCAAAGATATAGAAGACAAAGGGCCATCCAAGGGCTTGGATAATGACGCCACCCACAAGGAGGACAACAAAGATTCCTAATACCATTCCTGTAGAAAGAAAGGAAAAAGGTAGTGGGACCCCTGCCTTCTACCAGACAGATATCAAAGGCTGACAGATGAACATGGAGACATGCCACCAAACCATAGAAAACCATGTGCAAATGTAAAACCTTCAGATTACTCATTTAATTTATATACTTTCTGAAAGTCTTCTGTTTTCCCCTCAAAATCCCCAGATGACATTACAAAAGACTGTCATACTTACTTCCATGCTGTCTTAATTTTCAATGATTTACATTTATTATTGAATAAAGCACATGAATAGTCAAGGTTGTTGTACACCCTCCAATTCTACCCCCTCATCCTTCTGAAGACAAACATCATGCCAATTTCTTGTACAAGAAACAGTCACTCACCTTCTTTTCTGTGCACTTATATGCTGTTTATAGAGATACATACATTCATTATTTTTGTAAACACATTCATGGAAAGCTGATTTCTGCACAAATATGCTAATGATAGTGTTTCAATTTCTATAACTTCAAAGAACTCTAATATATGTCAGACATAATCCCATTTCACAGCTTTTCAAATATTTCTAAGCAATCTCACTTTTTACCTTTAGTATTCTTGTCAAAGTCCATGTGTATGAAATTATTTTAAAATAAGTAAGATGATAATGGCCCAAGGGTGTCAGTCATCTTTAAATTTTTTATTTTTTAATTACATTATGTATGTGTGTGCAGTGTGCACACACATGACTGAAATGCTCGTGGAGGCCAGAAGAGAATATCAGATCCCCTAGAGCTGCAATTATAGGTTCGAGTACTGGGAATGGAATTTGGGGCCTGGGCAAGAACAGTACATGCTCTTAACCATGGAGCCATCTCCCCGGCCCCAACAGTCATCTTCATTGAACAATAGTTCTTACAAAGATCTCCATTGCACTGAAGATTCTAATTCTAAACAGGAATTATTACTCATTTCTGAATATGAACATAATTTGTATAATAGCATATCAGAGGTGGACTTGCTAGATGAAAGGCTATGTATATTTCAAATTGTGGTAAATACTGTAAAAGAACTTTGTTGAAAGCTGTAGCAGCTTAAATCCCCAACATTTTTCTTTCTCATCTCCTTTATAACATCTAATATCTTGAAAAAAAATTTTGAGCACCTGTCTTCTAGTATAAATAACAAAAGAGCCCTCACTTTAAACTTTGTTCTTTGTAGTGAGGTACAGTTTTTTCCTGTTTATCAACTTTATTGTTTGCTGTAGAATATCAGTTTAAAATGTATTACATTTGTTTATGTTGTGAAATATTTATTTAATGATGCAGAGATGTGTTGCATTCTTTCACGATGCATTTGTTCAACTCTGTAAAACAGTGTTACTTTGCCTGTCTAAAACACCTGATTGGTCTAATAAAGAGCTGAATGGCCAATAGCTAGGCAGGAGAGGGATAGGCAAGGGCTGGCAGGCAGAGAGAATAAAAAGGAGAAGAGAGAGAAGAAAGGAGTAGGAAGGGGAGGAGGAGAAGAGGACGCCAGGGACCAGCCATTAAGTCACACAGCCAGCCAAGGAGTAAGAAGTAAAGAAGGGTATATAGAATAAAGAAAGGTAAAAGTCCAGAGGCAAAAGGTAGATGGGGTAATTTAAGTTAAGAAAACAGGGTGGAAACAAGTCAAATTAAGACCGGGAATTCCTAAGTAAGACTAAGTCTCCATGTGATTATTTGGGAGCAGGGTGGTGGACCTCCAAACAGTAAGAGGGGGGAAAAAAAAACAACTGAAATTGTTGACTGTCTTTTTTCTGTTTCTCCCATTTGCTTCCCTTTGTCTCAAGCTGCAGACTCTCTGTGCATTGTGAATAATCCCTGTGCATGTGGGCAGACGTTCTGCCATCTTTAACCTTGTTGACATGGTTGTGTTGCACAGTCAGCAGTTACAGACAGCTGTGGAGTCAGATCTAGGGCCTTCCAAATTTACTCTTTTGCCTAAACTGCTTTTTAACCTACACCACAATGTAGGAATAATTGTTTACACATTCTTTTTCCTTTATTCATGTTTATTGAATCATATTGTCTGTGTTATCTTATTTAAATATTAACAATCAAACTTGCCTGTAATCAAGAATAGCCAACTGCAGTTAAATTAACTTCCCCAGGGTTGGGGCTTTTCCTTTTAATAACAGGAAAGGGGGCATTTGAAAGACAATACCAAGTTCCAGAGTGCATGTATAGAAAGCTGGAAGTAGGTACCTACTCTACCACCAGGTCCACCCAATCCATATCTTTCCCCTAAATGTCTGCCTTTGCCTTGATTACAGTGAGGGGCAGACTTCTCTTTCCAGCCAAGGTCATGTCCTTTCTTGTGCTCTTGACTTCCTCCCCTCCCAATCTGCTTCAAGCCTGGGCTCTTAAGTGTGCATCCTCTCACTTCTTCACCCTCGCTTTCTTCTCTGCTCTTGACTCTTCCCCGACTACATGAAATACCAATAGCATAGGATCCGTGTTGGAAATAAAGCTCAAGTTCTGTGTTCTGCTGCATAGTGACAGGCAGAGCGTCAAGAATGGGAGCATACTATGTTTTAAAGCAATCTGAAAGGGAGAAATTTGAAAAATTTCACTACAAAGACGTGATCAGTGTTAGCAGAGATAGACGTGCCTGGATTTGAACATCAGTACGTGTTGACAGACACTGAAATAGCTCATAGCATCTCTTCCTCATTTTGTATCTTAAGACTGAATTCTCAGGAGTTTCTTTAGCATGGACATTGATAAGTAATTTACCTTGGTCCCTCCGGGCCCCTTTAAAGGACCATGTATCAGCAAATCACTGCTGATTCAATCATGCAAAGGCCTGGGCCATTCCTCCATTCTGCTCCAGTTACTCAAGAAACAAAACAGCAGTTATCAGGATCTTTAGCTGACCTCCTCTATTCCTCCCTGTGTTTCTTCCATACAAGTAGGTGACTTTGGCCCAAGATGCCTTTCCTCTGGGGACAGTCTTGCTTGAACTTTAACCCTATTTTCCATTACCACACCCTTGGGGCAAAGGCTGATGAAGTAGAAAGACAGAGTAAGAAGATTTAGGCAGTTGAGCACACATGGTCCTTGTGCATATTTGCCTCCTATCTCTCACAAGATAACTGTGCTGTTCACCTCTCTCTTCCTCCCTCCCTCTCTCTCTCTCTTTCTCTCCCCTCTCTCCTTTTTGTTCTCCTCACTCTTTCACCCTCTGTTTTAACTCAGAATTTGTGCAATGATGGCCTCCAGTTTGGTTTGAGAGGCTGTCTGTTTCCTGAGCTCTTGGCCAAGTTAATAAGACGTTTTCTTCTTCCCAGCACTTACTAGCCTTAAGAATGAGCAATGAGTCCTGTTTGACCTGAAGTGTTCCAAAGCTCTGTGAGTGGCTGCAAAATTCCCTGCCTCTATGTATATATTTCGTAGTACCTGAAAACATGTCCAACCTATGACCCATGGACCACCTAAATACCCCAGGATAGCTAGAAATACAGACCACCATAAAATCTTAAACAGACTTAAACATTATGAAATATTCTGTGATTATTTTTACTCATTTTTATTAGCTCTTTGAGAATAGTGTGCGATCTATTTTGATCATATCTACCCCTCCCTAGTTCTTTCCCAACTCACCTAATTGTTATTTTTAAACATCCAAGTCCAGTTTGTGCTGCCTGTACACTAGCGGACATGTGGCCTTCACTAGAGGGTGGTCAACACACTAGCGTCGCATTCTTAAGACTCAACTCACTCCTTTAGTTTGAAATGAGACTGCATGATGTTTTCATCTCTCAATTTTGTTCTTAAGTGTGACCTCTGTAGATGGCAAGGTAGGGTGGCAATGTCAAAGATTTGGCACAGCCACAAGGAACATGCAGTGTGTTCTGCACTGGAGGCTGGCAGCAGACAGGCCCTTTGGGCCCTAGGCGGGTACTTTTCTGGGGAGAGTGTTCTTCTCTAGGGTTCAGGTTAGAGCGATCCTGTCTTTTAACCCAGGCATCGTTGTAAGTAACATCACAGTCTTACTGAGGCAGGAAAGTGGGCTCAACCAACCCTGTTTCGATGGAATTTTCCATCTGCTCTCTCTCTGTGTCACTCAGGAAGCCAGGAGGGTCACTATGTTTCCTGAAGACAGAAAGAATTTCCTTCTGGAGTTCCTCAACACCAAAGACAAGGAAGCCTCTGGAGCTTGCAGTGTGTGGGCTGCTGAGATTCCCCTATATAGTGTCAGTTGATTTATTTTGGTTCTCCAGGCCATATAGACCAGCAAGTGAAGGTCTAGTAACTGTCTTTATTCTAAATTTGAAAAAAAAAAACTTTTTGTTTCAAGTTTGTTTTATTGAGTTAAGGGCTTGCCGCTCACTGCATAGCCCAGACTAGCCTTTGTGGCAATCCTCCTATCTCAGCCTTCTACGTGTTGGGATTACATGCATTAACCATCCCATCCCTTTCTCATGCATGCATTGCATGCCCTATAGTCTGGGTCAGTCCCACAGCTGCAATACCCATGTTCTCCGGCTTCTTATTCCCTGGTTTCCCTTGTGTTCTGGGGTCACCTCACAGCTGAGTAACTGAGGTGAATTTCCTTAGTTTAAACCGGATGCTCCTTTTCTGTCAGCTAATGTAAACTCCTGTGACCCACACCACTTATCACCATCCTGGGATTCTGAGGGGGTCTATTAACAGCAGGCCCCTTCAAAAGTGTGTGGTGGTTTTGGACTTGAAGAGCTCTTGACTACCTTTGAACACATACGCTACCTGCATCACTACGCTTTCCTTACCCAGTGCTAGTCTTGACAGTGGCCATTGTTAAATTGTACCATATATTTGCCACTTTCTCTACTGTAAGTTAGGTAGGCTTCTGCCTCCAGAATGCCCATGATGGGCACACTTCACTGACAAGCCATTTTCAGAAAAGAGTTCTCAGAAACCGGGAAGATGGTTTCGTGAGTAAAGGTGCTTGCCGCCAAGCTTGACGACAGGAGTTTGATTCCAAGAACCCACATGCTAAAAGGGGAAGACTGATTCTTGGTAGCTGTTCTTTGACTTCCAACATGTGCTGTGATGTGCATGCATAGCAAGGAAGTGAATGCAATGAAAACTTTTTAAAAAGATGTTCTCAGAACAATATAGAGCAATCCCAAAAAAATCACTAAGTTGAAACCATGTCCCACTGAACATAAATATAAGCTTTACACTATTGTCAGGAATTGTTATGTAAAAACTAAACTGGACAAATTCATAAAAACATGGATAATTGCTTTTACAACCCGTCAGTGTGTTGAAATTAAATCCCGCAAAATAAAAGTGATTGATTTAGAGACATAAAAAAAACCATTTTTAAATGTCAGAAATCATACCATAAACAGAGTTATGCCACAAATCACAACACATGACATGACAAAATGTCATGTCACAAATGAACACACAACCCAAATGAAGTGTTGGCTTTCTTAATTTGTATAAACATTTCATTAACATCAAGGAAAAGATAAAGAACTGTTCAACAGAAAAAAAAATTGTTTAGGAGCCCAGTGGGAAGCGTTGGGTGGCCAGGCACCTGTCTGGACTGTACTTCCTTACCTGACAGAGCGATGCTGCATAGCCGACTGCGTTCCTGTGGAGGAGCCCATCTCTGCCAGAGTGCAAACTGACCCCCATAGCCAGCGCCCTGAAATAAAGATGGTTACAGCTGTTGATATGGTGCCGTGTAGAAATGTACATCCAACTCAGAGTCTAAAAAGTACTTAGTACCTGGGTTAGGTATGGTGACACACATATGTAATCCCAACACTCAGGCAGCAGAGACAGGTAGTAAGTAGATCTCTCTGAGTTCAAGGCTAGCCTGGTCTACATTTTTTTAAAAAAAGCAAATAAAAGGAAATACTTGGTACCTGGGTAAAGCCCTGGACTGCTCGCACTGCCAGGAGCACACCTAGTCCAAGATTGGCAGCCGGTGGAATGCAGAGAGTGAGCAGCGAAGACCCGAGCAGAGCAATTCCGACCACTTTCTTTGTTCCTATCTTCCCGGCCAAGAATCCACCAGGACCCTGCATCAGCATCATGCCATACTGGACAGAGCTGAAGATGATTCCTTGAGTTTGAGGACTCCAATTATACACAGGGGCCTTTGGGAAACACAAAATGTTGTTATGAGCCACACACTGGAAGGTATTTATCAAGTCTAAGAAGCCTCATTAGATCTGAATTTTCTCAATCAAAATTTTTGAACACAGCTAGACCTGGTTGCATAGATCTATATGTAATACCAACTAATCAAGAGGTTGAAGCAAGAAGGACACAAGTTCAAGGCTGACCTGGACTACAAAGTGAGTTCAAGGCCTGCACGAGCAACTTAATGAGACCCTTTCTGAAAACAGAATGATTATAAGAAAGAAAGGAAAGAGCTGGAAAGTAGCTCAGTTGTAGAGCAATTGGTCGAGAATGTGTAAGGCCCTGGCTTCTCTTCCAAGAACTATAAAACAGGGTTTTGAACACAAACTTTAGAAAAATAAAGATAAACATGAATAGCAAAAAATTTGAGCTTAGGGGCTGGAGAGAAGGCTCAGTTGGTGAAGTGCTTGCTGTGCAAGCATGACAGGCTCATTCTGATCTCCAGAACCCATAAAGAGGCCAGCATTGTGACTTGTAATCTCATCACTGAGGAGGGAAAAACATGAAAATCCCTGGGACCCTCCGGGCAGTTAGTAGACCCTAGCATACAAGTCTCAGGTCCCAGGGAGAGATCCTGTCTCATGAAACAAGATGCATGGCTCCTGAAGTATGAAACCAAAATCTGGCCTCTGGCATTCACAGACATGCACACAGATGTGTGCAACACACTCACACACACACAAGTGGGAGCACAAACTTAAATTCTGCATTGCCTACCTTTGCAGAAAGATGCGTTGAGGCTTCATGTTGGTCACCATTCAAGTCGCCGGGAAGCTCTTCGGTGGAGTTATTGACGTGGGATTGGTCCGTGTTGTTGACCATGGCGACCATAGTGATGCTGATGATGGAGTTCTGCGCTATAAATGTGAAGTTGGCGAAATGTGCAAGCAGGGCTATTCCGTAGCGGATGGCACACAAACTCGGGACTGGGAAACAGGACATCATATCATGGCTTGCTTTATTGAGGTAACGTTAATTTTTCACAAGATATAATAGAAAGCTCGGCTTGGTGGTAGAAGCCTGTAATCCCAGCACTTGGGAGGTGGAGGCAGGAGGACTAGGAGTTTGGTCATCATTGCCTGCTATTTGAGGCCAACTAAAGTCACTACTGGCCATCTGGTGACTTAAATGACCTTTCTGTTTTTTTGGCTGGAATCAGGAAAAGGAGAGTCAAAAGCAGCTGGTAAGTGAACTAAGTCAAGGCACATTTTATACTACAAATGAACAGAGACTGGCTTCATTTGGGGCTTTCTGTCCTTCCTGTAATATTGTCTCTCCCATTCCTACGTCACTGAATTTTAGGGCTGATGAAATGATTCACAGTATGTAAATTTAAAACTTATATTAAAAGTTAAATATATAACAACATAATGCATAAGCTACATGTAAATTACATGTATGTGCATAGTATGCACAACTAGTAATATGATATACTTATGTTACATATCGCAGACATAATGTATGTAATACACACATATAACATATAATAGGTAATATACATATGCGTGTAATATATAATATACATGTATGTGATATGTGTGCATATATGTATATGTAATATGCAGCTATACATATATACATATAATATATGTAATATACGTATACACATATATATATAATGTGTACAAATAAAATTTAAAGTTTGAATAAGTTGAGGATAACTTTTCATTTAAAATGTGAGATTTAAGAACATGAACCAAGTTTAAGATTTAAGTCCTAGAGAGGTTTCATCATTTGAGAAGTTGACACCCTCAAATGCTAAAAACCTGCGGTGAAGCTGCACTGGAAACAGAATTGTTAAAACAATCCCTTTGTGTGGCTCCAGGAAAATCCCCACCGCCACCCCCCAGGTTCCCAGAGCCTGGTGCGTTGTCCAAAGTGCTGAAAACACAGGTGCCACGCACCCGTGAGTGACCTGCGAGAATTGTTCAGAAATGGACCTCTGAGGATTGTTGGCTAGATAATTGATTACTTCCCAAGCTCTTCAGGCAACTTTCCATGGCTGCTGGGAAAGGCCTGCAGCGTGGCTCTGCTGAGGGGTCCTGGCAGAGCACATTAGGCAAACTGACGTGATAGAAAATCACATGACTGTGGAAGCTGTGTTCGCCTGGCTGCAGGTATCTTTTACAGACGGACTTCAGCGAAGGGCACTCTGCAACACTTGCTGCTTCTTTTTTTCCCAGGAGACTATGGCATCAAGTGAGCAGCAGGGTGTCAAAGATCTCCCAGGGTCCTCCATGGGTACTTTAGTAGACAAGTATCTGTCTCTTGGGGAAGCCTAAGTCTATACAGCTCATCCTGTGGTTGAGCAAATCAGTTGGTTCACTTGGAGGAACTTGATAGACCACTCTCCTAAGCCGTGCTCTCCAGTCTAGTTAGTATCTTCAGTTCTTATGGAACACACATCTAATGCTCTCTCTCCGTGTGTAACAGCACACACCTAGTGAGCCTTACATTCCAGAGAGGACAACAACACACAGTAAGGTAAGACAGTAAGTCTGTCTTAGAGGGTGTGCAGAAAATAAAACAGGAAGAGGCAGAGTCCCAGGGACATTCCTGAGAGTTGATCGTGCAGGCATCTGAGGGGAAGGCACACTCCACTTAGTGGAAATGCCCTGTCGTGGAAGGAGTGAGCCGGCAGTGAGTGTTCAAAGAGCCAGCACCAGGTGCATATGACAGAGGAGACAGACAGAGTAGAACCAAGTTCTAAAGGTCGTGTGGACTGTCGGAGGGACTGTGGCTTTTATTTTGAGTGGAGTGGGAGCCCCTGGAGCAGTTTGTGAAAGCGTGAGACAGGATGAGGCCCAGAGAAGTTAAGCTAAGCTGCCTAAGGTGCTGCCCTACAGTTCCTGGCATATGCTGGTGAGATGGTAAATGCATGTTGTTACAGGCTATTGTCTTTAAGGTGGTAAGCCTGCAGGGATCACTGGGTGGCATCAATACAGGTTACTTGAATGTATTATTTGACTTCAAGAGAATTTCTTCCAAAGCTGTTCTTTAGTTAGCTTTAACTGTCAACTTGATACAGCCTAGAGGCACCTGAGAAGAAAGTCTCGATTGAGACTAGTCTCTGGGCATATTTTGGATGTAGGAGGATCCAGCCCACTATGGGCGGCACCATTCTCTGGGCTGGTGGTCCCAGTCTGTGTAGGAAAGCTAGTTAAGTATAAGCCAGAGAGTGAGTCACCAAGCAACATTCTTCCATGGTTCCTACTACACTTCTTGACTGAGTAAGTTCCTTCACTAGAGATAGTATTGGGTAGAACACCTAGCAGACCTGTCTTTGAGTTCCTGCCTTGATGTCTCTCAATGATAGACTGTAACCGATACGCTAAAACAACAACAACAACCAAACAAAAAACTTCCCTCCTCTAAGTTGCCATTAATCAGAGTATTTTTATAATAGTAGCAGATATAAATTTAGAACAAGGGGCGAGAGTGGCAAGCATTAACTAACATTTGCATTTTAAAGCATCACAATTTTACTGAGAACAATATAAAACAGCAGAAAAATCTACAGAATGATACCATTATGCCCGAAGAATGATTGGGAAAAGGGCATGAAATGAAAGACCTCTGATGTTGGAAGTCCTTCTGTATGTGTGTTGCTTTTATTGGTTAATGAATAAAGAATCTGCCTTGACCTGTGATAGGGTAGAGTAGAGTTAGGTGGGGAAAAACCAAACTAAATTCTGGGAGAAAGAAGGTGGAGTCAGGGGATGCCGTGTAGCTGTCACGGAGAACAGACATGTGGGAACCTTACCGGTAAGTCACAGCCACGTGGTGATACACATATTAATGGAAATGGGTTAAATTAAGATGTAAGAGATAGCCAATAAGAAGCTGGAGCTAATGGGCCAAGCAGTGATTTAATTAATACAGTTTCTATGTGGTTATTTTGGGGCTGAGCAGCCAGGAACAAACGTGGGGGTTCCTACTATAGAAGTCTAAATTACCCTGTTATAGAGAAAAATAATGTTGGAGTTATTTCACATTTAAATAAAAGAAAAAAACTGGAGATCAGTATGGCAATACTACAGTTCTTGACACTGAAGATACATTTAAGCATTTTTCTTTGTCTTGTTTGGTTTTGTTTATTGGGATAGGATCTTGTTGGATAGCCCAGGCTAGTCTCAAGCTCATGGTCTTCCTGCTTCTACCTTTGCAGTGCTTGGGTACCAGGCATTCACTACCATGTCTAGCACCTTTTTTCTACTTTTTATTTACTAAAAGTCAGTTGATGAGCAAATCAAATTTAAGCTGATTAACAAGTGAAAAATAAACCCTTGAGCTCTGACAACTCCCAAAATTTATTTTCCAAAGGCTTTTTCAGTTTGATAGTAATTCCATTTTCCCAAACACTCTGCAGTTTTCTTACTTTACTTAATATCACTTTGATGGAAGAAGGTGATGCTGGTTCAAACTCAGGAACTTGTATATGCTAGGTAAGCCCCCTGCCATTAACATGTCTACCCCATCTATAGTTTTCTTTAATGTATTTTTCTAAGCCACCTTATCCAGTCCACCTGGATCATGCTGTTGTCTTTTCACCTAAGATACCCAAGAATCTAGCTGCTCATCCCACCCCTCTCTTTTTGTTTGGGGCTATTCTACATGGTTGTGGCTTAAGTCTGAATTTTTGCCTTAGTCTCCAACCACAATGGCTCCCCTCTGCCAGTCTTTATTTGGTGGAGCCCTTTGAGGGTTGCCATTATGACACAAGACAAATCACTTCCTCTTTTGCTCGCAATCCTCCACATATTTTCATCTGTATCGAGACAAGAAAACCAAAGTCTCTATTTCACTGAAAGCAAAATAATCATAAATTTTGTCTCAAAATTACCATTTTCATTTCAAAACCTAAGGAAATGATCCAAATGTGATTATCCAAGGGCTATGTTATTTTACCACAAGACATATAGCTTAATAGTTCTCAGGAATAGTCCAAATGCATATAATAGCCAAATAACATATGCATTTCATATGTAGATAATAACAAAGGATCAAAATCAAAAGGCACAGCTTAAACATCAGCCACAGGAGGGCTTTTCAGGTAAATAAGTGTGGAAGTTGGACTTGTTAGGATATGTCAAGCATGCCTTGTGTAACATTCTGTTCCCTTCCTTCCTCCAGACAGTTGACCTTTCTGCCTTCATGTCATCGGTTTTCCATCTGGGGAAGGAAGGGAAAGAGTCAGGGGTGGGCAGGGAGCAAGGGCAGGCTAGAGAGGAGGAAAAGAACACGTGGATAAAAATGCTTTAGTGAGACCCATTACATGATGTGATAACTTTAGAGAATTAAAAATAAATTGAAGAAAAGAAGATTTTGTTAATCTTACAAAGCAATACTGAAAGCCATTATCAAATTAAAGTACAGTATGGAGTGTATAGATATAGAACATATAGAACAAATGCAGTAAAAATGATATTGGATGAAGTAAGCTTACAAAAATGTTACATTTCTTGATTTTGAATATTTATGTCATTTGTTACTTTAATCAAGCTATGTGATTGTGTTTGCAGTATTCCATGCAGCTATTAAAGAAATGGAGTGTGAAGCTGTGTGCCAACAGCTCTGTTAACAGTAATGAAGACTAAACTCATATGGGTAAAGATGAGAAAGTAACTGGGAAAAACTGGTCTTAGAAGAGTGTGTTTTCTTCTTTCACTTAACTGTGAGATGTGACTTAACATCACTGTGTTTCAAAGCGAATCAAAAACTTAAAAGTAATGAGGACACTCAGTGGGCAGGTGTACATGCCTGCTTCGTGTAGTGCCCAGCTATGCACAGCTTACCTTTCTGGGAAGAGGTCTTCTTGTCCACCTGCATGTCTAGGGTGTCCTCACTCTGCTTACTAATAGGTTTCAATTCCACTGTGGACATTGTGGCTTTTTCTTTCTGGGTGGCTAGTTTTTGACAGGGGGAAAATAAAAGAGAAAAGAAAGCAGATTCATAGAAAATAATTGGCATGATATTACCTCTCAGGTAAACTTCATGAAGAAAGAGAGCTTCATGGGCCACAACAATGAGATCCTAATATGAGAAACATTAAAACAGATTGATCATCATGCATAGCAATGTTGAGTGGGACTTGCAGAGGGGCTTCGACTCTAGACAATAAAGAGGGTTTCTGATTTTTATAGGTTTTCAGGTTGGTGAGCAAGTTCCATGCCACATGATCTAGTTTGTCCTGGCTTATGTACCAGAAGTCAAGAAGGCACTGATAAGAATTAGTATAATTCAATGTTATTAGTTCACAGATAGAGTGTGGGGGGTGGAGGAGTGAGAAGTGAGGAAGCTGGGATTTGCAGCTATAAATGAGAGGGAGACTGAACGCCACATCACAGCAAATTTTCTTAGCAACTCTGCCCCAGAGAGCCACAGGGGTGTGTGAGCTGGTTTGAGAGAGAGAGAGAGAGAGAGAGAGAGAGAGAGAGAGAGAGAGAGGAGCTTGAGGATCTGTGACCTAACAGTTTCCAGGACAATACATAATCCATAGGCGTGAGTTAAAAAGAGATGCCTTTGGTACATTTGAAGAGTGGGTACCAAACAGTCGAAACTGGGCCTGTTCCATCTAACTGGTGCATAGAATGGGATAGAACTGATCAGCATCTCTCAGTTCAACACAATAGGCATCCTGCAACTAAGCTTGGAACTATTAATCACAGGATTTAGCAGACTCACTGTAGAATGCCTGAAGAACTCTGGCTTGGGAGCTAGGCGCTCCTCGGTGCAAATACAGGTTCACAGATTACCTGCTTTGCCAAAGTGACATAGGAGCAAATCGGAATGTCTATTTCTCTGTCTGCTATTAACAACAAAGTCTGCATAAATCTGCCTAGCAGGTGATACAATTCAAATTCTGTTTTGATTCTGTCCATGAGTTGATGCTATGTCTGTAGAGTTTATTGAAGAACAAACAGACCTCACCTTTTTCACATGGAAAAACTCATTGCTGTGGTATAATATTAGGGTCTCTATGCCATAGGAAATTGCTATGCAGTACACTATGTAGAACTGCAAGGTGTGTGCTATGTTCAGTGCTCAATTTTACTTAAGGATTAGTTCAAGAAAGGCATCTCATTCATGCCACTAATACCACTAACAAACTGACCTATTAATATATTGTCCCAAATCTTCTATTGTCTTACTCTCCCTCTCCTGCTATTGCTGACCAACTTTTAATGGCAAATAGTAATTGATATTCCCTAGACATGCTATGAAAATGGAACAATGCAGGACACATTTTCTTTTTCTGTCACTAGGCATAATCATTTTGAAGTTTATGCATATAGTCTATATTCATGGTTTGGCTCCTCATTATCACTGAACAGTTATATTAAAATCTGTTTAGTCAAGCTCTTCCTTTGATGAGCAATCTTATTGTTTTTAGATTTTGAGCATTACATTGGGGCCCCTATGGACACCCATGTCCAGGTCTCTGTATAGCCATGTACTTTGGCTTCTTTTAGAGAAATACCTAGTACTGTGTAATTAACAAGTACACATCCATCTTCTCAGGAAGATGGCAAACTGCTCTTCAGTGCTATTTTACATCGTCATCAACAGTGTTTGAGGCAGCCACGAGATCCATCTGCATGGTCAGCCTTTGAAATCGGAGGCAGTTCAGAAAGCAGCTAGTTTTCTTTCTTTCTTTTTTTTTTTATCTTGATTTTAGTTACACATCTCTAGTGAAGCTGGGCTCGTTTCATGGCATTATTTGCTATCAATATATCTTCCTTAAGCTTCTCAACATTGAACATTCTAATCCCATAATGTACCATGCAATTTTAAAGTCCAGCCTTTGGTGGGCTGGTAAGATAATTCAGTGGGTACAGGTGTTTTCCCCCAAGACTGGTGGCCTGAGTTTGATTCCCAGGGCTCACAGGATATAATGAGAAAAGTGCCTCCCCCAAGTCGTAACATGAACCCCACATTCATGCTGTGACACAAGCATACTCCTCAATGCACACATGCACCCATAAATTAATGTGTTCAAACTTTTTAAAAATTAGCCTTTGATTTCTATAGAAAGTGTTTTGCTTCTCCACTCAAAAACTCCACTCAATTTTAGTAAGAGACAAGATTAAGGCCACCTGCGCCTAATGGTGATACAGTTTTGTTTTCTCAGGCAGAGCAGGGTCTACCCTGTTTTCATGAGCAGTGTTCTCCACTGAGTGGTAGCTACACCTAGCTTTGTGTTCTTTCGTGATGCCAGTCTCTGTGAAGGCAGCTATAGACTTGATTCCAGTTTTTGGGACTCCATGATTGCCTTCCTCCCACTGCCCTCAGGTCACACCAGCCGTCTTCGGATGCCCCTACCCCGTTATAATTGTCTCCCCTCTTCATTTCATTATCCCTCCTAAGCCATTTTGTTCATTTTCTGTTTGCTGATGTTGTGGGTCAAGCCCAGGCCTTCATATATGTTATGGAAGCATTCCCCCTCAGCACTACACTCTGGCCATTGTTCTCATGCATGTGCTTATTTACACGAGGATGGGTGTGTGCTCATGCATGCGAAGGCAAAGCTGAGTGTCTTCCTCAGTCATGTTCGACCGTGTGTGTGTGTGTGTGTGTGTGTGTGTGTGTGTGTGTGTGTGAGCAGAACTTTCACTGAACCTGGAGTTCAAGGACGCAGGTAGCCTGGCTGGGCAGGGAACTCCAGGGATTCATATGTGGTTATTACAGACACCTGCTACAGCAGCCAGCTTTTCACATGGATGCTGGAAAATCTAAGGTCTTCATCCTTATACAGCAAGCGCTCTACTACTGAGCCCTCTCTCCTGTCCCCTCTCAGGCATTTTAACTTGTGTAAAGTTGGTACCATCTCATTGGTTTCCTTAACCCCAGCATTCTTGCGCAAGCCCAACCTGAACCTTGCTTGCGCTATAGTTCTATCCCCCTAATTAATCTGGATGGGAATCTAAAACCATGAACTTGATCGCCAAGCAATGAACTTGATTCAGAACACTATGAAAGCCACATCGTTGAAGCATAACTGTCTAAGAAAAGGACCAATACAATATGGGGGACAGGGCATAAATCTTCATGCTGTCAATGAGAATTCCTGGAAAGAATCCTTGTCTACAAAGACTGACTGATTAGAGCTGCAATGATAATTGGGCCAGACACCAATCTGGTCACAGGAGATGGCCAATTCAAGTCACATATTGACTATTGATAAGAGTCTTAGTTGGGGTCATCCTTGTAGATTCTTGGGAGATTCTCTTGCACCCAGGTTTTTAACCTGGGCCCAAAATGCCACCCCCCCCCCGTTTCCAGTAGTCTTTCAGTACTTTTCCCCTATGAGCCACCCCTCAACATGATTTCATGTTCCCATTCCCACTGACCCTCGGTCCACTCTCCAATTCTCTTCTAGTTCCCCTTCCCAGGGAGATCTGGGCATCCCCCCATGAGCCCTCCTTGTTACCTAGTCTCTCTGGATCTGTGGATTGTTGCATGGTTTTCCTTTATTTTACAGATCAGAGAGGCATCATCCAGAAACTGCTGGAAACAGATACAGACCCACAGTCAAACATTAGGTGGAGCTCAGGGAATCCTGCAGAAGAGGGGGCAAAGGATGGTAGGAGACAGAGGGGTCAAGGATACCACAAGGAAACACAGAATCAATGAACCTGGGCTCACAGGGGCTCACAAAGTCTAAACCAACAACCAGGGAGCCTGCGTGGACTGACCTAGGCCCTCTGCGTACATCCTGTACTTGTGTAGCTTAGTCCTCGTGTGGGACTCCTAACAGTGAGATAAGGAGCTTGTCTCCAACTCTTCTACTGGCTTTGGGAACCTTACCCCTCATATGGGGTCACCTTATACAGTCTTAAGACATGGGAAAGTTCTTAGTCTTACTGCAGCTTGGTGCTTGGTTGATGCTCATGGGAGACCTGCCCTTTTCTAAACAGAAACAGAGGAGGAGTGATTTGGGGGATGGGAACAAAAGGGAGGTGGGAACAGAGAGGGGTAGGGGGAGGTACCTGGAGGAGAGGAGGGAGAGGAAATTGTGGCCTGGATGTAAAATAAATAAATAAATAAATATTTTTTTTTTTTTAAAAAGGAGTGCAATGATATGGAAAGGACGGGTTCAGAGGCCGATTATTTTAACTTGAGATAGGTTTAGCCTCTTCAGCAGCCATTCCTTGCCCACCTTTCCATTGGGCATTCCAAGGCCAATAAATAAAAAAAATATCTGTGGAACCTACTGACTTAGCAGATTCCTAGCTTCCATCAACCCGAAAGAAGTCTATGAATATTATTGGAGAGCACCTGAGGCCTCAGAAAAACTTCCCCCATCTCACTGTACCTGCCTCTTATCTGTATTTTAAATTTGTCTTGACTTAAGACTTTCTTTGTTCTGTAAACTATAAGCTTCATGAAATGGCTTCTGTGTTGAGACGTGTAATTTGGGGGCAGCCTAAATCTGTGTTCCCAGACCATGGTCACTCAAATACGGCTCTAGCATAATCTTGTATTCCCTATCAGGTAAGAGCTGTGTGATTCTTTGCATTGATAATGCAATAGGCAGAGAACTGATTGATAATGTTGTTTTATCTATAGTGGTTTTTGTAAGTGCTAGAACCTTCCAGCAGCTGTCAGGTTAGCAAAAGCTACTGCAGCCGGCTGCTGCTACAAACTCAGGACCCTGGAAGAGTACTTGACCTCAGAGAACTCACTGACTCTGTTCTAGGTTATTCAGTTCAGGAACAGAAGAACTGATGTTTGTTTGTGAGCCATTTTGTCTACCGCCTACCATTCTCTCCCTCTCTCCCTTCTTTCCTCTCCCTCTCCCCCTTCCTCCCTCCTCCCCTCTCTCCTTCTCTCTCTTCCCCCCTCCCTCTCCCCCTCTCTCTCCCTTCCTCTCTCTTCCTTCCTTCCTCTCCCTCTCCCTGTCCTTCTCCCCCTCCCTTATTCCCTCCCTCCCTCTTTTTCTCTCCCCCTCTCCCCCTCTTTCCCTTACTTCCTTCCTCTCCCTCTTCCTCTCCTTCCCTCCCTCCCTCTCTCTCCCCCTTTCTCTCCCTCCCTCTCTCCCTTCTTTCCTCTCCCTCTCTTTCCCTCCCTCCCTCCCCCTCTCTCTCTTTCTTCCTTCCTCTCCCTCTCTATCCCTCCCTTCCTCCCTCTTTCCTCCCTCTCTCCCTCTCTACCTCCCCCCCCAATTCTTTTTTAAATTAAAATGTCCAGGTGGGACCTCCCTTGCTTTGTAGACAATTCACTTCTACACACATCCGTGAATTTATGTGACTATATAAAATATTTAAAACACTCCTTTATAGTGTCTGTTTCTTGGATTTGTCTTCCACAGCTGCATTGTCTCTACCAGCTAGCATCAACGTTCCTAGTGATCTTCCAAGTCTTTTTCTCCCTCTCTTCCTTTTTCTCCTTCCCTCTCTCTCTATGTTCCTCCCTTTGCTCTCCCTCTTGGGCCCTCTTCCTCCCCCTCTTCCTCCCCCTCACATCTCTTTTCCTCCCCCTCTTCCTCCCCTTCACATCTCTCTTCCTCCCCCTCTTTCTCCCCCTCCCATCCCTCTTCCTCCCTCCTCCATCTCCTCCACTTCTGTTCCTCCCCTTCCCTGCCCATCCCCCCTCCCCTTCTCTCCCTCCACTTTCTCTACTCTCCCTATTCCTTCCCTTTTCCTTCCCTTCTTTTTTCTCTCTCCCTCCATTTCTCCATCTTCTTCACTCCTCCCTCTCCATGGCCTTTGGATATAGATGTTCACCTTCTGCCACACACTTTTTATTTTGTCGACAGGAGAACATTTGAGGTTTGAGGAGGGATATATAGAGACCATCAGCTGTTATTAAGGAAGGACAGGGCAGACTTTCAGCTGCATGACTTACCAACTTAGTGCCTGAGGTAGGGCTTGCTGTTTTTCCTCTGAGCAGGCTTCTCTTACCTCTTGCCAGTGACACTCCAGGATTTTCTGCCACTCCAGGGCTTAAATTGTTAATCATTAATGAAAGGCATCAAACCGGAAGCTCAAGAAGGGCTTCTTTGCAAATGCCTTTTGATAAAATGTAAAGAACCTGTGTCTTTGGATGGTAGACACCTCCTGCCTCTAGCAGCTGTGAGCTTCCCACTCTGCCTCCCTGTCAGGCATCTCCCAGCAAATCAGAGACAGCCACATCTCTGACACCTGTGGATGCTCGGTTGCATTGCTCCACAGTGCTTCTAACCACTTTTGTTCTGTTTGAAAAATGTTAAGAGGCCAAAAAAGAGATAAATTAGAATTAAATACGCTTCCCCTCTTTCTGGTTTTTGGCCCTTCTTTAGTTTTCTTCTTTGAACTATGTGAACCGTAATTTTACAGACAAACTTGAACTTCAATCACTCTGTTGCTTCACCTTTTTTTTCCCCAGTGTCTGTAGTTCTTTATTAACCAAATCAAACAAACAAAAAACCACAGGCCTCTCTTGTGAATTTGATATGGCTTTCTATGTTTTCTTTCCTGCCTTAACCACTTCTATATTTGCTGACAAGCTACATAAAAATAATACTATGACTTGTTTCTCAATTTGCATACCTGCTATCATGTACAATGGGAAATTCTCTAACTCACGTATAAAAGTGCTTAAAAATTTCACACACACACATAATGCATTTTGATCAAATCACCTTCATTTCTCCCTTCAGTTCCTTCCCTGTCTCCCACTATTGCCATCTACTAGATCTTAGATAACATTTCAGAGTCAAATCCCTGAAGAAAAAAAAAAAAAACTGACCCTATCACATGCCAGCAGCTGTTAATTGCCAATAACTACTTGGCTGTGGTGGAGCTTCGAGAGCTCCTTCCCTGACCATGGTGTGACTTCATGGGTTCCTTCCCTGACCATGGTGCGACTTCATGAGTTCCTTCCCTGACTATGATGGGACTTCATGAGTTCCTTCCCTGACTATGATGGGACTTCATGAGTTCCTTCCCTGACTATGATGGGACTTCATGAGTTCCTTCCCTGACTATGATGGGACTTCATGAGTTCCTTCCCTGACTATGATGGGACTTCATGAGTTCCTTCCCTGACTATGATGGGACTTCATGAGTTCCTTCCCTGACTATGATGGGACTTCATGGGTTCCTTCCCTGACCACAGTGGGACTTCATGGGTTCCTTCCCTGACCACAGTGGGACTTCATGGGTTCCTTCCCTGACCACAGTGGGACTTCATGAGTTCCTTTCCTGACCATGGCGGGGCTTCATGGGCTCTTTCCCTGATCATGGTGGTATTTCGGCTGGCTTGATCTTGTTCAGGTCTGTGTTTTCAGTCACAGATGCTGTGAGCTCATGTGTACAACTGCACTGTGTGTTTGGCAAGTATGGTTTTGTTGCAGATGTCCACCTCTGGCTCTTACGTTCTTTGTGCCCCTTCTCCAATGCCCCCTGAGCCTTGTGTTCAAGGGGGTGAGATACCATTTAAAACTGAGCACACCAGTCTCTTATTGCCTACATGTCGACCAGTTGGGGGTCCCTGTGTTAATCACCTTATACTGTAAAAGGAAGCTTCTCTAATGAGGATTGAGAAATGTGCTAATATTCTAATTTCATAGCTTTATTTTCTTTCTTGTTCGATAATTGGCATGGACCACACATTGACCATGGCTGCTTGACACAGTTCCAGCATTTTGACTTCTGGGATCGCAATTCTCCAGCACCCTTACACTTTGACTTTTCGTGATTCCCACTGTATGTTTTGAGACTTTCCTTATGCCTTTTCCTTTGGGAAATTTTGTGTGGACTTTGAAAGCTGAAAATACCTCTGTAGACAATTCTTGCAAAAAAAAAAAAAAAAAAAACAACCCCACTGAGGAACCATATAGTGTGATGTCTCTGCACACAAGATTCCCTGTTGTGTGCTCCGGATTACACCAAGAATAGGAAAGTTAGAGATTTACTAACTGGCACACCTGACTCCAAGGATGAAGGGTACAATCCAGACCCAGGCCATTAAGGGCAAGAGTTCAGTTAATAAGTGGAGAGGAATCAGAATGGTATGGTGTCCTGGAAAAAGAAGACTTTCTTTTGGGGAGCATATGAGGGAAATAGGCCCAGTAGAATAAGACTAAGACACAAAGGAACACAACTACAGAACACCGCATTGTGCCCCTTGAGGAAGGAAAATGGCTCTTAAACTGTAGTCAAGTGTGGTCCCCAAAGGAAGTCCTTTTTCCCAAGGTCAGACATTTGGACAAGGGCTTCCATTCCCTCAAGACCTTGAGGAAAGTTCCTGCTTGCTAAAAACACTGGTTCTCTTTATCCCAGGCAGGAGGAACTTATGGCCCTTGCATTGATGTACAAGGGCTCCTGGTAGAGCTACTGAGCCTTTGAGAGCAATAGACATTTCCATACATGCTGAACTTACTGCTTTTGTCTCAGGAAAAATGCTATAATGAAGTTAATGGCCACTTTCGTCCCTGAATCATTGTGCCTGCTATCAGCCTTGCTCAGGGCTAAACTGTTGAATGTAAAAAGTTGTTACCTTTTTCAATTAATGCATGGTCATCCATTCTTATTCACCCTCAGATTCTGCCAGTCTCCCCCTCTCCCCACTTCCCATCCCTCGGACTTCACACAGCCTCATTGAGACCTGAACCTCGCTGGAGTGGGTCTCCAGCAAATAATATTGTACTGGGTATATGCATCATATCATTATTATGCATTGATTAGTTGATGGCCATCTAGGCTCTTTTCATTTCTGCGCTACTGTTAACAGAGCAGCAATGAATGTGGATGAGCAAGTGGATCTATAGTAGAATATAGAGTCCCTTCAGATATCCCCAGGAAGTCTTACAGCTGGATCATATGGGAGATCTATGTCTTGCTTTCTGTGGTGCCCCAACACTGATTTCCAACACAGAGGATGGGTTTGGAACACCCGCAGCAGCACATCAGAAGTCAAGCTGGCTCGTTTCTCTGATTGACTCCTGCCAGTTCCTTGAAAGTACAAAACATCCTCATTGCTTTCCAAGCTGGTGAAGAGGGCGTTTCTCCTCGACTCCCATGTGAGGCGATGCTTCAAACCCCCTTTACTCTGTAGGTAGAGAGTGTTCGGCTTTCCGGAGGCCCCTCGGTTTATGACTCACATTGAGTGTGGATGTCAGGATCTGCCACAGAAAACAGTCTGGGCTCTGCATGCACTAAGCTGCTCTGGTGGTTCATCTCCACTGTGACTCTAAGTCTTGTCCTACTTTGTAATCTGGACAGATCCTTTTGATTTCGTGTTGACTGTAAGTATGGTAAGGGGATAAACCACTTCTCAGTAATGGGGGCTGTTGACTGAAGACTTGGAGCTGCTGGATCTGTCCCTGAGATCAATAATTCAAAAGGTCTGTGTCTTGGGAAACGAGAGTTTTCTTGAGTGTTTCTTTTCTCTACAAAAGAAAGAAGTACAGACGTATTCCATATGTGCGTCTGAACTGTAAGTATAGAAAGGTCTCGAAGAGCCCAGAAATATAAAAAATTATATGCTTATAGCCTGATAATGGCTTTAAAACAAGCTACCTGACCCTTTGTCCTACATTCTCCCAGATACATGAAAGCAACGTTAGAACAGACCCAGGCTATATAAACATTTCAAACTAAAGCCCTGTAATCAGAGGCTGTAAAACCCCTAACTCAAGTTGGCACTCCCAAGACGCTGAGACTCCCCAAACACTGTAAATCCCAATATATACTCTCTGCCCTGTGCATAACCTTTGACTGTAAAAAGACACTTGTAGCTCCTTCTCAGGGTTACAAAGTCAAATATCTCTTTGTGGCCCGAAATAGTTAGCAGCATTTTTGTCTGTCTGTTTCCCCATCCATGGTGCTTTTAATAAAGTTGCTTCTGGTTTATAGACTTTGGTGGTCTGCTCCCTGGGAAATGCACAATTCCAGCACCCAACAGTCTGAGTTCATTGTGGAATCTTACAAGTTTCACCTCCTGTGTAAAATATTTTTCCCTGAGTCATTTTTAAAGAACTCTGTACTCTGGGATAAATAATCAACAACTTTAGAATGTAAGGGTTTCTAACTCTAACCAAGCTGGAATATGTGGCTGAGTCTCATAATTTAATATTTAACCTTACTTTAAAATGTTCATGTATTTTAACCATGTGAGCTTAACATTCTACTTGGTTTAACTTCAAAAAGAGACTCAAGATGTTTCTATGTTGAAAAATATCCAACTTTGCCTCATCTCTACAGTTAGTTTTCAAACACTTGAGTGTATATTGAAATAGTTCCTTGACTTAGATTGTTATACTGACCTTTGAAAAATTACATATTTTCCTCTTGGGTGACCCTGAAATTGCTTTGTGGTGGTATAAGACTCTTCAGAGCAAATAGACTGCATATTTCCCCCTTTTATTTGAGTAGTCAGAGTGGTCTCCCTAAGTTTGTGAACAATTGTCCTTAATAATAACATACGACAGCTCATCAGGATGCTGGCTCCAGTTCTGTTCACTATTTCAGAGGATGTGAGTACACAGTTAAGGCAACCACAAAACCTGTTATCTCCAGTCTAGAGCACCAGGCCAAGCCCTCACAGAGGAAGGACAGTTCCTGTGCACTCTCTGCCTAAACATCACCAAGTCCAGTCATGCTCAGATGATCCAACTATACCGAGCAATTTGAAGCTTGACAAAGAGGCTTAGCTCAATGACAGTGGACACTCCCTGGAACTTTTGAATTTAAGCCACAAATCCAAATGCTGTGTCATCTTTACTCAGCACCTACGTCCTCGTTAAGATTCTGGCAAATGCTCTTGTCTCAGTGGTCAAGTTAAACTCTTATTTTGCCTCTTGTTCTTCATGACGAATTGGGTCATGGACATGGGTCACAAACCTAACATCATCTGGTCATTTGCTGGTTGCCAGACTGCTCGTAGTGGGAAGCCATCTCTGCTATTTTGCTTCCTATCAACTGAGCAAAATGCTGTTTGCATTTTCTCTTATGCACA